GCTCTAGTGAGGACCTCTTCAGTTGTGACTCCTTGGTGCATCCTCCGGGGGACGCAGAGCAGAGCAGAGAAAGCGAGCTTTCTCATGACTTCTGGAAGAGCACTAATCCCGCTCATGACAGCTCCACTTCACTGACCTCTTCTCATCCTAACTATCTTTCAGAGGCCCCACCTTCTAATACCATCACACTGGAGGAGCATAGTTTCAATACATGAATGTTGGGGGGACACAGACATCCTGCCCATAACAATGATCATAGCAATCTCTCCCTCTGAGTGGAGACACGAACAGGGAAGACTGAAGTAGAGACCACAGAAATTCCACGTTCCCAATCAAGAAACGAGGCTGATGGGCAATGAAATGGCTCTGTGTGGCTTCTCCTTTTCTAATATGTGGATCTTTGGACCTCCATGTCCCATCTGTTAACATGACAGCTCGCTCTTGTTCCAGTGCTTTCTGCTTAAGTAAGTGCACCTGCTTTTCAGCTGGAGGGGTAAATATTTTACCCACTGTCTTGCCTTCATGATAAACATGTAAATTAATAAAGGAGACACCAGCTCAGAGTGCATGCTTTTACCCTGTTCCTGCTAGACGAAAAAGTGAAGAAAATAATTTTGCCTCTCCCTTCCAGTCCTGTCACATGTGTGTCAAAGCTGTCTTCTTCTGGCTAAATGCAAAGTCTCGTTGCAACCACGACCGAAATACTTACTGGTGCATTTTCGTCCCCACACTGAGCTAAGGAAGAAGGCATCTTAACACTCACTGCCGAAAAACAAGCCACATGTTTCTATAAATTAACTAAAAGTAAATAAAATTTTAAAAATGTATTTTGAATGGATAAAATTCTTTATATTTCCAAATCCTGGAACTATTTCTCCCCACTATTTGTCAAGACATCTCTTCCATCACTAAGCCAGAATTCTCTCCCTTGCTTTGGGCTGTATTTCTCCCTCCATAGCATCAATGGCCATTACATCTGATTTATTTTAATTATTTTGTTTATTGTTTGTTCATAGCATCTCTACTAAAATTAAAGTGATTATATTATTTATCATCTAAACCAAGAGGCTCTGGAGAGTGAAAAGGAGCCCTAATACAAATTATGCCAGGACAAAATGCAGATGTTCCTGGGGAAACAAAGGTGTGGTCACCCTAACTACAATGCAAGTTCCAGAAGCTCGGGGATTTGGATCTGACTTTTCTCAGACCTGTGTCCCCACTGTCTAAATTAGCACAAGATACCCATGAGATGCTCTATAAATAGGTATTGAGTCAATGTGGCTAAGAGCATGAGCTCTGAGTGGACAGCAGGGGTTCATACTCTGGCTCCAAAACCAATGAATTACGTCATTTCCCTGTGGTAATTTCCTTGACCACCATATGCTTCAATTTCCTCATCTGTCAGATGGCGACACTAATGACAGCACCCACCTCACATAGCTGGGTGAGAACTAAATGAGCTCATCCATAGTACAATGCCGAGCACAGGGTCTGTACATGGCTAGAGCGGGCACTCCAAAAGGTTGGCTGTCATCATTACTCTTGGTCATTCCAAGGTCGTGTGAAGAAGGCGTGTGAGGCAGACAGTTATGTCTGCCTACCCAGCACCCCTTAATATGACAATAATAGAAGTCTTCTTGCGTCTATAGAATGCTTGGCTGTGCCTGGCCAACCATGAGATGGGCCCCTGGCTTGAGCCTGGCCTAGAGGAGCTCTCACTTGGGACTGAGGAGCAACTTTTTTCTAGAGATCAAAGATGTGGAGTCACATTTCCCATTCTACAAAGAAAGCAGGTTCACAGAAAGAAACAATGGCTGCTGAGCACAGAAGAGGGAGCTGGGGTAGCCAAAGCCCCGGCTGCATTTCTGCCTCCCTGCTCTCTGCTCAAATAACCCTCTGAAGTCCTATGAGCCAGGAAACCCCTCTTGGACCCCAGCTACTTTAACCTGCCAAATGGAAACAAAAGGGTCCTGACAAGGGCCATGGTGGGCAGATTCAACACACTCTTACATAACTGATTAAAAAAAATTTTTTTTAAGGGGGATGAGGTGGAGAAGGAAAGGATGAAAAATATTTATTGGTGCTCACCCTTTGCCAGGCACCATGAGGAGGACTCTGCTGGCACCACTATGTGGTAGGTACCATATTTATTCCCATTTTATGGATGAGACTGCTAAGACTCAGACACCCAAAGGAAACTTCCCAAGGCCACACAGTTATTTACAGTGTCACTGCTGGCTTCCGAGTAGCCCTTCTATCCTCGGTGATTAATCGAAGCCAGTCAACACATGGCACTCTCCTGGTGAATGTCAGTAGACCAGGAATGGAAGCATGTCCTACACCAATTAGAATGGAGAAAAGCACTTCCATTCCATGGCTGGGGGTTTTGCCTCTCCTGCTTAGGGGAACCGGCCTTAGAAGAAAGTAAAGTTCCTTATTCTAAGTAAAGAAGAAGAAAGAGAAAATTTAAGAGTTCTCTATGTCTTCAAGAGAAAGCTGGTGTTGAAATTGGCACAGTGGTAGAGTGGTCAGATAAAATACGGGATGCCCTGTTCAACTTGAATTATAGATAATGAATAATGTGTTGGCATAAATTTGTCCCAAATATTGCATGGGTCATACTTTGTCTTTTTTTTTTTTTCTTAAGTAGAATCCATGTCCCGTGTAGAGCCCAACATGGGGCTTGAACTCAGGACCCTGAGATCATGACCTGAGCTGAGATCAAAAGGCAGATGTTTAACTAACTGAGCCACCCACGTAGCCCAAGGGCCATACTTTTATCCTAAAAACGTTTTAGATGTCTATCTGAAACCCGAATTTCCCAACTGTCCTGTATTTTTTTTTTTTTTAAGATTTATTTATTTATTTGAGAGAGCCAGAGACTGCGCATGCTCATAAGGGCAGGGACTCAGCGTGGAGACAAAACACCAGCCTCCACCTCCTGGCTTGAGATCATGACCTGAGTCCACTCTTGAGTTACATGCCTGACTGACTCTGCCCCCACCCTGGCACCCCCTAGGGGTCCTGTGGTTTATTTGCTAAGTGTGGTACAGTGGAGAGAAGGAGTACACATAATGGAGAAGTAGGATGCTCTACCTTTGAACTTCTGGTTTTGCAAAGTCATTGATATTCTTTACTGTTTAAACACTTCAGAATTTCAGTTGCCCGTACCCCAACCCATCCTATCTCATGCAGCAAGTCAGAGGTTCCAAACCAGGCAGGAGGGATACAGAGCCAAAGTCACACCATTGTACAAATCCTGAAGGGACAGAAATTGAATGCTATATTCAAATCTAAAAAACCTTCACTGAGGACATGGTACTTGCTTTTTCAAAGCTATATGAATGCAGCTTGACAGACTCACTACAATTCTTCAGATTCTCCTTGGTCAATGTAAATTTTTTATTATGAAGTCATGGGATGTGAATTCACTTAAATTGTAAAACCCCTTTATGAATAATAACAAACTTGAAAATTTCAACAAGGATAACTGTTCCTAGCCACCAAAAACCACAAAAACATCTAGTAATTCCAGATTAAGGACAACTTTTAGACATTCATGATAAAATTACACCCTTGTAATTTTGTTTAGAAAAAAATCAGCTCTATAGCAAAATCTGACTACAGATCAAACCTGGAGTGGTACAAAACAATCAAATAAAATAGGAAGAGAGTATAGGAATGAGTAGAACTAAGTAACCAAAGGGGTAACCGAAGGAAGGAGTTGCGTTGCTGTTTCAGGATGAAAGTCCTGTGTGTGTGTGTGGGGGGGGGGGCATACTATTTACTCAGCATCAAAAATCTCAAGAAAATGGACCCAACAAGTTTACATGTGATATCAAGTATATTGTCAATGAACAAAAACAGGATGTCAAGTTAACCATTACAGCTATGAAGAAACAAAGCAATTCCTGTATTTTCATTTTCTAGTTTTGAAGCCCTGCTCTGAGGCAGAGGCTTCTCCATAACATGGAACACATAGCATTAATATCACCATCATCTGGGCTCGCTTCAACCCCATACAAAGCTGTATTTCAGGGCATGTCAGTAGAGAACAATTATCAAGTTGAGGGAAGGTCTGACAGAGATACCTTTGGAAAACAACAACATAAATATGTATGTATGTATGTATGCAACTGGATTAAAAGAAATATGATTTATGATATTCTTGGACATAATGTTATAGAAATCTTAACTGTCCCCAAATTAATCTACAAATTTAACAAAGCCCCAGTCAAAATACCAATAGGTTGGTTCATTTGTTTTGGTGGAATGAGAGGAAGGCTTGATAAAATGTTTGTAAGTTTTATCTGGAAAAAGTAACAAATAGGAAACACATGTGAATAGCAAGAGCAAAGGGAAGGAGACGAGCCCAAACAGATGTCACAAGTATTACAAAGCCAAAACCAATAGAATAATGTGGTACAACACCAGGACTACACAGGAAGCTCCATGGAACAAAACAGGAAGTTCAGAAACAGATCTACAAATATATAAGATTTGTTCAACGACACAAATTAAGTATCTGAAATCTGTGGGGGAAAAATAGATTCACCTATAAATGATGTGGGCTATCATTTAGTAGAAAAGAACATGTGAGTTTTGCTGGTAAGATGGTTTTAAAAGCCTGAAATGGTAGAGGCTGAATGGGAGAACAGAATCCATCCACGAACAGAATGCTAAAGAATGACAGCCCTGAGCTCCCAACTCATGGCTCCTGACAGGATTCCCAACAAGAAAGGGAATGCTGTCAACTGGTATGCCCTCTTCCCCCTTGTTAGACGTCATTGGGTTTCCCTCCACACCATCACCCCCACAACCGCCAACCCCTCTTCTCAGTGAGCATTTCTCTACTACCTGTTCCCCACTCTGTAACACAAAAGGATTCTGGGAAGTTAAGAGAAGTTCTCTATACATTCTGGATTGCCTGACACCCCAGTCATTGTAAGGCATCGGTATGAACAATCTGAGAGTTACCAAACTTCAGGAATAAGGCTTACCTGTTTCCTCTTTTCAGGGGGAAGTGACAGATCTCCATCCTATAAAGAAACAAATGTTACACTTTACTTAAAAAAAAAAAAAAAGTGTGCTTAGATTCAGGGAACTGAACAAAACTCCAAACTAAATTCAGACCCTCCCACTCCTTCCCCTGCAATCAATAGTGTGCTGAACCAAATTCAAATATATTTTTTTAGGATTTTTTTTTTAATTTGAGGGAGAGAAATACTGAGAGAAAGAGCATGAGCAGGGAGAAGAGGGAGAAGTAGGCTCCCCACTGAGCCAGGAACCCCACATGGGGCTCGATCCCAAAACCCTGGGATCATGACCTGAGCTGAAGGCAGATGCTTAACCAACTAAGACACCCAGGCATCCCTCACATATGCTTTTAAAAAAATGAAGTATAAACTGAACCAGTTATTTTGGAAAAACCTCTAGGAAATCAGTTCCAATTAGGACCAAACCTAGATACTTTCTAAAACCGTATGAACCAAGTAAATACATGAAAAAACTGGATTTATCTTTGAGCAGAGCCAAAACTGAGATAGTATTTCATTTGGTTTGAGCCCAATCCCTCTTTTAAATAGTTAGATCCAAAGGAATAATAGTGGATGCACACATGCTTGAGTTTTCTCCATGAGCAGAACAAGTTGGGGGCGGGGATACGGTAGGGAAGAGGGGATAGGATATGGTCAAGATAAAAGAGAATTAACTGAGAACTTGCAGTCCTCTCAGAATCTCTGTCTTAAAAGGATTCATTTTCCCCTCCCACCCCTTTGGTGCCACCTGGAAATAAAAAGAACTCAGGTGACGCATAAATGGTCAGTAAACCAGTACTCTTGTCTCCCATGCTGCCTGAATAGAAGTCAACATTATGTGGAAACTTCCTATTCTATTTCTGCATCAGGAGAGTTCAATGACCCCAGCTTAGATGGCTAAATGTTAGCCATTGGGTCAGCACTCGAAAACAGAGATCGAAAGTTGTGAGGAAAAAAAAGTGGAATGCATCTGGTTCTCTGCTGTTGGTACCCTCCATCTCAGTATAATCTGCAGCCTTAAAAATCTTGCCACATGAAAACCCAGAGTGACTCTAAATGCCCGGCATAAAGGAAAGGTAAAAGAAATTATGGAAATCTTACTATGCAGCTGTTTTTCAAAAGGAGTTAAATTTGTTCATATGGCCTAGAGAAATGACCAAAGGACTGAGTGAAAAGCAAGTGCTGGAACTATGTTTACACAGTGGGGATGAGCAGAACTCTGCAATGATGGAAACGCTCAGTATCTCACCGTCCCAACACAGTGGCCATCATGGAACTCTTCTACAACCACATAGTCCCACATGGTATCCTGCAGGGATTGGGCCCATGAAATGTGCCGAGACTGAAGAACAGAGTTTTCAATTTCACTGAATTCTAATTAATTTGAACTGGAATTTAAATAATCACATGTGGCTAGCAGCTTCTGGATTAGTGCAGATTTATAATATGAATCCTCTTTAAACAGGGTGCCTGGCTGGCTCAGTGGGTAGAGCAAGCAACCTTTGATCTCCACGTGGTGAGTTCTAGTCCCAACTACCCTGAGTATAGAGATTACTTAAAAAAAAGAAAAGAAAAGAAAAGAAAGGTAAAAAGAAAAAGAAACAACAAAAAGTGATAAAAATGATAAAAAACAATGAAAAGCCCCATACAATTAAACTAAGAAGGAGACATATACAAACACATTTGTATGAGTTTTCATAGATGCCAGAGGAGGCAGTCCGGAAGCACACGCGTCTGCTAGTGACTGGGGCTGGGTTGTGGAGGAAACAGGGGTGACAACTTTCACTTCTTCATTTTTCCATGTTGGAACTGTTTGAATTGAACCTCCCCTCACTTTCTTTTAAAGAACTGGTGTGTTAAAATCCTCACTTTCTTTTCTTTTAAAATTTTAATTCCAGCGTAACCCACTTTCTATCTTAATGAGGGCACGAGAACGTCGCCGTGATGTAACACGTACAATCAGCTCCCGGTACTTCTTCTTCAGGGACTGATGGCGCTCCCGAAGCTGATTGGCCATGAGTTTGTACTGGTCCCTTTCTTGCTGGCATGTGTCCAGCTCCTTGGAGAGGATCAGCAGGGCTTCCTTTTTACTCTCCAGCTTTCTTTTACACACCAGGTACTGCAAAACAAAAAAATCCAACCAGCGGGTCAAAAACGTCAATAGACCTCCGTTTAACACACCCCCTGTTTCATGCTTCCTGCACGGTTGGTTTTGTTTTGTGGAGTTTTTTGTTTTTAGAGAACATATACCCAGAGAGGTCAGTCAGTAAATGATGTATGCAGTAGGTATACAATATGCAGACTGCCATGGTACCTGACCTACGCCCCTCACGACAGAACCAAAACCTTGGATGTTCATGGACTTTAGCAAACTGGGATAAACAGATAAAATACTTTAGCCAACATATAAGTAAAAAAGCAAATTTTTTTAAATGACATGGATAGATAGTTGGACCCAAATTTTGTTTTAAAAAATATATTTAGGTAAGATTATGTAAAATTTTATTAAAATTCAATGAAATGATATACACAGAAAGATAATTCAATACAAATTTTATAAAAATATTAGTAACTACTCTTGGCCACATGTTTTTTATAACTTTATTCTTTGTGCTTTTCTGTGTCTTCTAAATTTTCTAGAAGAAACCCATGTGGCTCTACTATAATAAGTAAATACAAAAAGTGCTATTAGAAATAACTTAATTGAACTATAAATCACTGCAGAAGAATTCCCTTGTCCATTCACCCCAGGAGACATTTTCTTACCTGAGAATGTTCGTTTACTAACTCCACCAAGATGTGTACAACTTCTATAACTCCAATACAGGCACCCACTACCCAGGCACCAGATGAGCTAAGTATTTTAGCCACACTTCGATTACCCCCAAACAGTTGGGTGTACCTAGCTGGAACTCTTCCTCAGGGGGACAGGATTTCTTCATCCCTCCTTCTCTCCATCAGCCCATCTCCACCCAGACCATGAACCACCCTTACCTGATAATCAGCCACCACACGGGCCAGTGTGAGCCTGACTGGGACTCTTACTTTCATTGGATATACTGCACCGCGTGGCGTTATTCACGTATGTGAAATGTGGCATTAAATACCTTTTGAATTTGCCCCGTAAAAGACCAAATTCAGAGCATTCATGAAAACAATTTATAGTTTCATTATACACTCTGACATGAGCACTTTGTCATTATGGACGCTCACACAAAGCAGAGAGAGAATCAGCGCTCCCATACCATTGGAGTCAATGCTCTTTTATGGACAAAAAGCATTACTCATATATAGTGCTTGCTTGGAACTGACTTTGTTAAGTTCAATTTCAAATAAATGAAAGGGGAAAAAGAGAGTTTTGTGCATTAGCACAATTATTTTTCCTTAAAAAAAAAAAAAGTAATTGCTTAGCTTCAAAAACAAAGGGGAAAGAAAAACCATTCTGAGACGGATTTGAGTTCTAAGAGAGGACACTTCCACCTTGGGTGAATCTTATTCCTGGCAGTAATGAGGTTGGAATCCTGCCTTAAAACGTCCTGGATTTTTAAGACTTTGACATCGTCTTCGTGGAGGCAAAATGGTTCTGTTGCCACTGTGATTTCTCAGGAGTAAAATCCCCAACGAGTAAATATCAGAGGAGAGTGGCTCAAACCTAAACTGCAACGTCCTAAGGGAGGTATTGAGATTTCACAGGAAAAAAATCCCGTTTACACACAATTTAACAGATCTGCCCTTGCGCCTTCGGTTCTTTGCCCGGGATCAGCAAGCCTCGGTTGTCAGGGCTGTTAGTATTGGTGGCACAGAAACAGCCACCTTTGTCCCTTCACTTGATCAGATTCAACTCTGAGACCCCAAAGACACTGTCTTCCACCTTCGGGGAAGAAAATTCCAATTGCGTGGAGACATTGTGAGGTGCTGTAGGCAAGATTAGCCATAACATCGGTCTTGAGAAGCGGTAAGGGCCACCCCTTATTGGCAAAGTGGAAATTCAGGTTCCCTGACCTTGAACTGCTGTCTATTAGGATCCAAGAGAGAAGCAGTTTCTCTCCCAAGGCATGGTTCAGATAGGGCCTTGGAAGCCGTGAAGGGCTGTAATAGGACTCCCTTCCCTTGGGTCCAGAGTCCCTGGCAGGAAACAGGCACAGAGGCCTCTGTGAAGACAGTGATCTGGGAGTTGCTGAGGGGCGTCCCTGCAGCTCAAGTTCCTTCAAGGCACGAAAAACAGGACCATTATACCTGCCCCAAAGGGTCAGAAAGCAAACACATTCCATACAGAACCTAGAGCCACAGCAGCAAAAGGTTGGTCTTTCGGAAGCCGCTGCTCAACTGTGCTTTCTTCTGCTTACTCGGGTCTAGACCAGCAAACGGCAACAATTGCCCTCCGTGCTGCTTATTTTTATCAAGAGAACAAATCTCAGGCTGGAGCCTCATTTCGGAAGCAGCTCGAAGTGGTGCTGCCCCGAAGACGGGACGGCTTCTTCGGAGTCCCCCGACCCTGCTGTGGCAGAATCAAGAAGGAAGAAGAGGCTAGAGGACACTGCTCTGTGTCGCCCCAGCCCCGCCGCAGGCCGGGGCTGCTGGTGGAACTACGGCTGCCCGGCCCCAGCTCAGAGCCATGGAGTCGGAATCTCTGTGCCGGCCCAGGCTCAGGAATCTGCATCATTAGCCCATGGCACAGAGAATCTCACTCCGGCTACACTTTGAAAATCCAGGTTCTAGAGGCCTCCTGCTTCATACTGTGTCCAGAGTTAGAACCCTAACTGCAATAGTTTGAGAGGCCAGCAGTGGCCCGTGGGTCCAGGGGCGAGGCACGGTCTCAGAACCGTTCTGTGCCATTTTTTGTAGCCCAGAGGGGGACCAAAGTACAAACAAGGGCTCTGTTTTCCTGCACCTGGCCAGAGACCATACGTCTGTTATCAAAGTAACAACAGAAAACTCTGTGAGGGGGTGGGGGGAGAAGCGATATTGGGGAATGGGAAGGAATTTCTCGCACTCATTCTAAAATGGTTATAGTTTGGTCCCTGTGGTGCAAGCTGTTAAAATGACCCATTTCCTAGCCCTCCAACTGGAAACAAAACAACGAAAAAACTGGAAGGGAAGGAAAAGGTCCTGAAGAGCCTCCTTGTTGGCAGCTTCTGAACGGGCAAGTGAACGGATCCATCCCCAGCCTTGGGCAGGACCAAAACCTGAACAGGAAGCCGGACCAACCAAGTGACCGTGCTTCAGACATTTCAGCTCCTAGAGGAGGACAGGGTAAGTGTAGAGGATGGAGGGGGTGGACAACAGAGAATCAGCAGGCAGGGCCGGGAGTCCTCCGTCCGGACGTGGGTCTCGACTGCAGCTAATCATGAACTGTGGGGGACCTGGGAGAACCACAGAACACACACACCCCGCCTGGAAGATGAGAGGGGCAACCAGGGTGCCCTGAAACTTGAGGAACCCATGATTTTACCCCCATTATCCAATATCATTGGGGGTAAATGGTGTCCAGGAAAACATGGGGACGGGGAGGGATGGGGCTCCAGTCCAGGAGGTAGGACTCACTTCAAGCGCCCAGAAATTGCTTCCTCTGCCTTATCTAGGACAGAGCTGGCTCAGTGGTTTCCGAAGATCACCCGTGACCGTGGCAGTTTCAGAATCTCTATATAGCAGGGGTTATCAGATGCTCACTAGCTGCCGTGGGTGCTGGGCAGAGGCTGTGATTGCAATAACGATTTACGGCAGAATGAGAAAAGGCTAATGCCTGTGCGGTTAACATGAGCATCTCTCTCTAATATCTCCAGCTCTCCTTTCCTTCCAGGCCCATGGCAGGACTGTCCCTCCCTGTGCTTTGGAGTAAGGTAGAGCCATGTAACTTGCTTTATCCCATAAAATGAGCCTCTCAGAGACATGAGGTTCTCCCAGGGTGAAAGCACTTGAGAGTCTAGGTGAGAATCGCTGGTCCTTCTCCTCACTGGCTGCAACAGGTGTGGAAGCAGGTACGGCCCTAAGGACGAAATGGTCTTGACTGTGGTGTCAATATAGCAGACGACTTGCCCTGGAGAGTCCGCGGGGTCCACAGAGACCGTGACATGATCCAGAAGTAAAATTCTGTGGTGTTAAGGTATGGAGATTTGGGAGAGGTGTTTGTTACCAGGGCCTAACTTAGCCCATCCCAACTCATGGAGTCGAATCAGAGAACGAGCCTAGGGAGACTGGTGAAGAGGATATTTGCCCCTGGTCCGTGCTTCTGTTGAACCATCACAAAGATGAAGATCCATCACTGCGAACCAAAAACATAGTTTCTGTGACAGATGCTCTCTGTGTGGATACCTTCAATCCTCACAGCAACACCGTGAAGTCACTGACCTCCTCGTGTACAGTGTGGAAAGGCTTATGTAATGTGCTGAGGGGCAAGCAGAGTCAGAATTTGAACCCAGATTTCTGTAGAGCCAACCCCTGGAAGCCCCAGTGCCTTAAAAACTAAGCATTCCATGAAAAAGAAAGGAAGGAAAGAAAAATACCAGAATATTTATGGAGTTTCTTCCTACTTTGAGTTGGTATTCCCAGCACGAGGGAGCTATGGAAGGGCGGTTTTGAGTCTGGCTAGTTTTTAGACCTGGAACAAATGAGTGAAACATTTATCTCTTCACCCACTCCCCTCCACTTCTTGGGGGCCTGCCTCTCCTTTCCTCAGATGAAGCCTGAAGGAAGATGGGAAAAAACAAAAGGACTCTACAAGCATCTCTCCCCTGTGCTCCTTGAGAGGGAGCCAAGTGGAAGCAATAAGGTTACTCTCCACTTATAAGAAATGGGATAAACTACAGGGCGTCAGAAAAGAACCAGAGGACTATTTCCTCCAAAGCAGCCAGGCTGGAACAGTTTTCTATAAGCTGTAGCTGGTCTCAGCCACCCATTCAACAAATATTTTCTAGGTGCCTTCTCTGTGTGAGGCACAGAGCCAAACACTGGTCCCCCGAAGGGATAAATGATCCTGTTGATTTTGAAAATGAAAAACATGATACCTGGATAACAAACCTTATTTCCACAAGCCCTTACGGGTTTTTCTGAATCTCCCCGGTGTTCACATCCCAGTAGTGACCTCAGTGATGCGAGGGCGTTTATGGTCTTTATGCCACT